TTCAGGCGCTCCCGATAACAATTCCGAACTCCTATTTCCTCCAACTACAGAGAGTTTTTGCTAACTTTATCTGGGCAGACACTCCCCCTCGCCTGCAACACTCTTTTGCCCAAAAACTCAGGTGGGGTGGGACTTCCAGACCTGGCCAAATATTACAAAGCAGCTATGCTCACCAGAGTAGTGGACTGGTGTTGCCACACCGATACCAAAAGATGGGTAGCCATGGAGGCAGAGGACTCCCCGATCCCCCTGACAGACGCTCCCTGGCTGTCAGCCTCTGTGCTCCCACAGACCCATGCACATCCCACCATCGCTCCGACTATAATTCAATCTCGCTCTGTCTTCAGAGTCTCAACCCTGTCACCATCCCCTTTGCCTATGACGCCGGTTCTCGGCGACCCGGATTTCCCACCGAGCATGGGTAAGGGCCGGCTGCACTGTCTATATGAACAGCCGATTTTCCGAGTATGTGACTTTCGCACGGGCGACGGGTGGTTTTCGATCGAAGAGTTGCGAACGCTTGTTGAACCCCCCTAGATCATTGGAGCGCCCTCCAGCTCCGACACTTCTTATGCTCCATTCCCTTGTCCCTTCTCTGGCAAGACCACTAACAGCCTTTGAGATGTCGGGACGGTGTGCCAGTTCGACATGTTGTCTCTGCTACCTACGCTACACTGGTGGGTCCCGTGTCTACTCCCAAACCGGGCTTTGTATCCAAATGGGAACGGGACCTAGACCTGAAGTTTACCCAGCTGCAAAAAGAACGCATATACTCAATGGCCCACAAATCCTCAATTGCCTGTAAGACCCAAGAACTTAGCTATAAGATAGTTTCCCGGTGGTACAGGGTCCCGGCACTTCTGCATTCCATGTTCCCTCAGGTCTCACCCTTGTGTTGGCGTTGCTGCCTGGCCCCGGGGACCCTGTTCCACATTTTTTGGACTTGCCCGAAGATATCCCCCTTCTGGAGTCAGGTGCTCGAGACTATCGAAAAGCTAACCATGGTGCAGTTAAAAGAAAACCCAGCTGCATGCCTGCTACACCTTTCGGATTGCTCTCTCAAACGATCCCTTATCGTACCATTGCTGAATGCGGCTCGGGCCTGCATCCTTATCCTCTGGAAACGTTAGAATCCACCCTCCCGTCGTATGTGGATGACGAAAGTAGATGAAATATACCGCACGGAAGACCTCTCCTCACCCCTTCACAACACGGAGAAGTTCAGGTCCACTTGGAACGCTTGGCTAGCTTTTCGGCACTCCGATACCTACGTAAGGGAAATGCTGTCAACCCCCCGGAACGAATCAATGCGAATCCACGAGGGTGCTCCCGAGCTCGTCTTCCCCTGCCGTTGGGTCGGAAGGGTAGCCCAGCCTCTGTCCACATATCCTTCCTCCCTACCCCTGGGTACTGCTTAGCTCACACCTATCTATGACCCTGCTAAATGTACGGCCTCTATACCCCCCCATCCTTTCCTCTCTAATGCTCCCCTCTATTCTACCCTTCACTTTTCCCTCTAGGTCTCCATCTCTGTGAAACCGACTCTGTTCACCATAGTTAAGTTTGCTACTTACAAGTTTTGTTAACAACATCGTGAAGGACGCTAAGAATTATTGACGCGAGACAAATATGTGTTCTCCCGTGGCCTTCATGAAATGGGGTTTTTACACCCTCCTCTCTGGACACGATGATCTGTGACCAGATTGCTAGTACCGAGGATGATGCACATGCTCTTGCAATTAGAGGAATATCGACCCGATATACAGGTGTAATGTAATAATTGAAGACAGTGTAGCAGTTCCTGTGCCATGATATGACACTTATATAAATCTCATGCTGATCTGGACGCAATGCACAACAATGTATAGTTATATGGTCAAATTGTGACCGTGATTCTTCTCTGTTTGATTGCCCATCCTTATGTGCCTACTTTATACGTTTTAATAAAGACGTTTTTGAATAAAGATTAAAAAAAAGAAACAATGGTCTGGCAATAACCCGACTTGGTCCTTTGAGGACCCGTGGATGTAAGCCATCTGGTCCCACAAATTTATTATCATAGGTTTTCTAGCCATTTTCTTACCTCATCCTCTGAGCTACTGGGCTTCAACCAGTCCATTATTAGAATAGTTTACACTTTGTATACTATATCCGTCTAACTCATGAGCATAAAATAAAGTGTTCAACACCTCTGCTTTCTTTCGGGTCGCATGTAACCAGCTTTCCCTGCTCATCTTTTATGGAGCTTGTGTGCTCTGTTTTTACTATTTATAGCAATATTTGGGGTTAGTTTCACTTTCTATAGCCATTTGTTCTCTCGTAGCCTATTTTTGCTTCTCTGATGGCTTTTTTGTATTTCTGATTACTTTCCTTGTAGTGCTTGAATGCCATTTGTGACCCTCCCATCTCATACTTTTTAAAAGATTATTTTTATCTCTTATTAATCTTTTACCTCCTGCCCTACACTGCTGCTCAACTCCCTGTATAACTGCAGGCAGGAGGACAGAGAACTGGGACTGTGGCTGAGGTAGCTCAGTCAGCAGAGAAGGATACTGTCAACGGGTGGTACTGTCCTATCAAAATCGGCAAATCGCCATGCTGCACTACTGTTTTGACAAGATCTGGCTGCTGTTATGGTAGGAGAACGTAGGTGGCGGAAGCAAAGCATCAGGCACATTTAGACTAATCACATAGCCAGTTTGTACCTTAAAACAAAACAGTCATGGGACACATTTGGGTGGCTCTTCTTGATTCTGAACAAGCAGCTGAGCAAATAAATTGCCTCACTGCTAAAAGTGCCACAGGTAAGGTTGCCTACGGTCCGATGTTTGACACCCTGCTTATAGCTTCAGTGTTTTCTATGTTAGTGATCTGGAACAAGTATGCAGATTACGTATTTCAGTTATCTTAATGCTGGTTCTGGATCACTTACTCAATGCTGGTTCTGGATCACTTACTCAAGTGCTGAAGACAGAATGTCAGCAGGCAACTATCCTTTAGGCCCCATTCACAGAGGGGACACATGGTCACAAGAATCAATAGGTGTCCTGTTTTGTTGCAGCCACTGTACTCATTTAAGTTAATGACAGGGAGCAGCCACATCTGTCGGCAAGGGTCTGCATGTAATTGTACCTGGCACAATTACAGTTTGGGATATAGGATTGTAGCTGGAGCAGGATAGATGCATCTAGGGACAATCTATCCCAAACCACATGCATATCATCCTCTGTACATGCGGACTGTCACTCACAGATGCAGCTGCTGTCACCCTGTCATTTACTTGAATGGGTACAGCAGCCACATTTGAACAGGGACATCTGGCACACCTGCCCCCAAGACCAATGGATTCTTGCGGCAGGTGTGCCAGACGACCCTGTTCAAATGTGGCTGCTGTACCCATTCAAACCAAGAGCCCCATGTGAATGCAGCTTAACAGAAGTAGAAGTCAGAAAATGCAACTTGTAGGTTTCTCTTGTACCCGGTTATCTTTATACTGTAAGAACTCCATCCTTCCCTTCATGAACGTTTTAGGATAATATTTTATTTCTCCAGCTATATGTAGAAAAGCATGTGTGTCAGAATCTGAGGCAACAGAACAGACACAACCTGTCCAGGTACAGACAATGGATATGGTGCCAAACATCCAAATAGCTACAAAGGCACACACCTTAAACCAAGCACAAAATTAACTCTTTATATTCTCATGTTTTAATTTACAGAAACTAGAACATTCAAGTCATGCATTTTTACAGGATTATCGGAAGCACTATACCAAACACTATGGAGCAGAGTTATGAAAAAGGGGTAGGGGATACGTTTTTAGTTATTCAAAGAAAACAGATGAATGTTTCCATTTGGTGTATGCCCTAAAAAAAAAAAACTAAAAAAAAACAAACACACAACTATAAAATGGACTGCTATAAACATTTGTCTTGCTGTACCTCAAAGGGTAGCCAATATGCTAGTATACAAAAATATATACTATGGGATTTTCACAAGTGACTTGATCCATTGGAGTGAGCTAAACTAATATATATTACTTGAAATAAAAAATTATATTTTGTGCAATTTCTGAGCAAAAATTTAAAACAGAAAAATATTTGCAAAAGAACCTTCAAATGATAAAACTATCATACGGCCTGTGGCTTTTTCAGTACACACATTCTGCATGAATTGGGTGAAATGTGATGGACGTTCATTCGCTTATCATTTGTCCACAGTCAGTACAAAAGCTCACACACAGTCAAATGACTGCCATGTACCTTAGCGTGCAGAGGGATGAAACCTCCATTTTGTTAGTAACAGTAAAAAAAGGTAACACAGTGATTGTTCATCACTTTTAATGAAAAATAAGGTTTACTTTTTAGAAGGAGCCATGAACATTAAATATTACTCTAAATAGAATATTAGATAGCAAGCTGCAAAATATTACTACTAGGATTCCACACTGTGGAAATATTTTGTTTTTGACAACATAAAAAGTGACGAAGGGACAAAACAAGACATCTTTGTCTACTTAAACATCTATTTCCAACATTACATATATACACAAAGTCCTGGGATTTAGGAGGAGTCTACTTCTCAATGTCAAGAAGGTCTAGCAAAAGGCCAAAAATGACATTGTCTGTGTAAAGTTTCAGAGAAGGCCAACATCAAGTCTCATTTAAAAAAAAATAGATGTATAAGCATGGTTCAATTGAGCAGGATAGAGACAAAAGTGAAAAAAATAAATGGACATACAGTACAGGAGTTCCAAGCAAAAAAAAAAAAAGAGTAATATCAGAGATGAGCAGTAGAATAGAGGATCACTTCTGTGGCAACAGGATCTCGGGAATGACATACCGGTTACATACACCTTATTACAACTAAAAAGTGTATCCCAACACCACAACACAGACCAAGTGCCAGGAATGACTTGTCAACATGAAATTATACTGTACAGGTCACGTCTAATAAAAACACAGATGTGGACTTTTCGGGAGGGGGGGGGGGGCATTCATCATGTACAAGGAGGGCCCGTGAACTTCAATGTGGAAAAATCATCAAATGTGTCATCTTCTAATGGAGTTGTACTCTGTACGCAGTAATCAGCAACTTCACCTGTAAAGAAAGAACACTGTTTAATGCTTGGGTAAACACACTGTTCTAACAACCCTACTTGCACAGATGAGTTTTACCATAAAGTATCCTGCTTTAAAGTAGAACAAAAAACAACACAAAAAAAAAATCAATTTCTTTGAGCAAGGAGGTGGCTCCCCATGGTGGGACATCCTACCTTTTAACATGGTAGAAACCACCAATTCAGAGAGACCGCTAGTCCTGGGCTAATTCAAGAGTCATGGCGTTAAAGCAGGATGATAAATTGGCTCCAGGATAGGAAAGGTTTTCTGATAGAATCCCTAAATGCTTATTTATGGGATCCCTAAACATGGACGCATCTTCTAGAAGGTTTTTGAAGTCTTAGCCCTCGTTCACACCTGAACGTTTTGTAGCGCGTTCTACGCTCGACGAACGCTCAAAAATATAAATCCCATTGTATTCAATGGTCTCGTTCCCACCTTGGCGTATTTCCGCCCGTCCCTAACGCGCTACAAAACGGCCCACGCCTGAAAAGGTACAGGTACTACTTTGGGCCGTTTTGTTGCGCGTTTCCATTGGGATACAGCCAAGTAGCCTTCGGAAACGCGCGACGGTCACGGTAAAAAAAACGTGCGACAGACGCGCATATGCAATACGCCTAGGTGTGAACGAGACCTTAGGGCCTCTCAGGGATTCCTGATTACTCTAAGCTGTAGCCGATGCCTTCAACTGCTCAGAGACCATATCATTTGGTAAATATTACTGAGACTTTGTCGGCGCCTCCACAATAAAAGGCTTAGGATGTCCCTAAAACTGGGCAGATCATATAATCTATCAGGAAAGGGAGGATATGTTGGAGGTACACTTATCGTCTCTAGTGCTAGTGATTAAAGTTGCAATTTGGCCCAAGAAATCCTGCATAAAAGGAAACCTAAGAGCAGTGCATCGACTCAAGCAGAGGACAACAATCCAAGCTGTCGTTGTTGGGCCCTTGAGCGTGAGCAGTGCAAGCCGGCCAGGAATTGTTAGAGGATTGCAAGGTGGTATCACGGGATACAGCGAGACTGCAATCTTTTTTACATGTTGAACTGCATAAAGCAGACTACCAGGTAATACCTTCCACTAAGAGCAAGAAAGGTTTAAATGGCTGAAAGTGACCAGGTGACTGTAGGCCGTAATAAGGACAAACAGAAGTAAAACTGTGTGACTCTTACAAAGAGAAGCCGTGGTGGGCAAATGCTACCTGAAGCAAAAACAGGGCATGAAGCACGTGCTTGCAACACCCCACCTCGTGAAGCAGAACTTGAGTCCATGATAAAAAAAGAAGAGGGTAGTACCAGCACCCAATAGTTCTAATAAAGTCGATTCCAATGGTCAGCCCACACAGTGAAGTACTAAGAATTGAATATTTCATAGACAGGTACACGCCAGAGGCTGTGCCATAACTATGGACCTGAAACATGCTCAGTGGCTATTAGAACACAAGGGCAGAATCACACTAGCTCAAGAAGCATGGAGTGAAGTCTTGACTGAAGGGGAAAAAAAAAAAAATAGGATTTTGTTCTTACTGTAAGTCCATCGAGGGACAAAGCACTGAAGAACTCTGATATGTTTGTTGCAGCCTCTAGGAGAAATAGAAGCTAGGAAATCAAAAATTAACAGCCTGCCACTTTAGGGACATAACCCTCCTACCTCTCACCCACCAGTTGCAGCAAACAGTATATAAGAAAAATAGGGGAGGAAGCGGTATCCCTCAATGGACTCTAAAAAAAAAAGATTTTACGGTAATAACAAAATCCTATTTTATCCATTGTCCATTGAGGGACACAACTCTGAAGAATTTTGATCTGCAGGGATGTTCAAACGCAGTCTAAAACAGGGGGGGTGGGCACCACAACAACTAGAAGAACTAGTGCAACAACAATACAGGAACTGTAAATATATGCAAGTCAAAAAGCTGCCTGAAGAACTTTCCTGCCAACACTAGCATCAGAAGAGGTACAAAAAAAATAAATATAATAATAAATAATTATAAAAACCGTTGCAACAGTGTGAGCAGAAGACCATGTTGCGGCCTTGCAAAATTGAGTAACAGAAGCTGGATTCTGAAATGCCCAAGAAGTACTAACAACCCTCGTAGAGTGAGCAAAAACAGGAAAAAGGAAGATCCTGAACCCTCAAATCATAAGTACTCACAGCTTTGTCAAAACACCTCCAGATGAAGAGACCATAATACCAGATCTAGACATTATCTGCTAAGAAAGTCCGCCTGTCAGTTTCCTACCCCTGGAATGTGGACCGATGAGATCACTAGAACATGAAGTTCCACCCAATCCAAATTAATCTCCTTCGCCACCCCCTGGTGATTGATATAAGCCACCGCTGTGGCATTGTACGACTGAGTCTGAACCAGGCAATCAGCAAACAGGTCCAGTGACCCATCAAGAGATTTGCTTTCAACTCCAGAACATCAAAAGCTTGGATTCTTCCAGAGACCAACCACCCTGCAAAGATAGATGATCCAATACTCTGCCAGTCAGAAGAGACTGCTCTTGAAGTAAAAGGTTGTCTAGGTATCAGATAAATCAGAATACAGTTGAGACAAAAGATTCCCAAAACTGGAGCAAGGCTTACTACAAGACAAGACAAAGAAAAACGCTGATGAGCTGGAAATACAGTAATGTGTAGATACGCATCCTTTTTGTCTATGGAAACTAAGAAACCTCCTTGAAGAAGAGATGCAACAACTGAATTCATGGATTCAATCTGGAATTCGTGAACACATTGAAAATCGAGAATTCAACGAAAGCCTCTGTTGGGTTTGGGAAGTGTAAACAGGTTTGAGTAAAAACCCCATAAACGTTCTGCCAAAGGGACAGGAATGATAACACCCTGATCTAACAAACCTTGAACCACAAAAAAAATTATTTGCTGATGTTGCCGAGCAAAACAACTATCAGGTTGCAACATAACAAAATTGATAAAAGTGAAGGGGTTCTGAATACACTGTTGGTAAGTTGGACAGTGTATTTTTTTCACAGGTTTACATTTGTATATAAAATCCAACATACATTAATTTACAAATTGGTAAAACCTGTCAATATGCAACAACCCACCTTTGCATTTGGTACCTCGGAGAGTCTAATAAAAAGTTTATTGGGGCCAGCAATAGGACTGAAGGAGTAAATAAAATGGGCATCCTAGAGAATAAAAAAACAAAATATCAGCAACAATTATGACACTAGATTGGGACTTATCACCTGTAGTAGTTTATATAATGCAACTTACACTATATATTTAGTACTACAAAAATCTCTAAATATATTATATTTTTTAAAACTTTAAACTTATAAAAATCAACACAAAAATAGGTCTAACTAATACCATAGCCCCCATACTACATCATATCATAACAAACTCTGTATTGACTTCATAATAATATTGAAATGCAGTAATCAAAAACAAATTCAGACAAATAGGCACAGTATCGTTTCCAGGATAATATGTGCCGCAGATAAGCAGAACTGTACACAAGGGATTCCCCCCCTTCCCGGTTAGATGAGAGTTCTGGTTAGTTGAATACCAGAGAACAGAGAGTTTACTGTATCTTGCCAAAAACAAACCCCCCCTGTAAACCGCAGCACAAGCAAATCGTCTCATATTAACGTAGTGAATTAATGATAAAGCAAAAAAGGTTTTTGCTTTATCATTTTAAGCAATTTAAGCCAAAACACAGACAAAATTTCTGTCCAGAAAGGCAAGAGTGGATTCAAAAATGCCTGACCCTTAATATGACATCAAACACATAACGTATAACACATCTAAGAGTCAGCAGTAGCTGAAATTGGTCATACACTGAAGGCAGACCAATCAGATTAAAATGGAGAATTAGCCTTCAGATTTTGCAGTCGGCAGAACACTGGCAACCTCAGAAAAAGTTTTATCTCTAATTATACTGAAGCATGTGCAAGCAAGCAGTCTTTTTTCACTGATTACCACTGCTACCATGTCCAGGATCCGTCTGTGTGTGGTGGCTCTTGATGCACTGACTCCAGCCTCAGTCCACTCCTTGTGAAAGTCCCCAACACTTTTGAATGGCCTTTTCCTGACAATCCTCTCCAGGCTGCGGTCATCCCTGCTGCTTGTGCACCTTTTTCTTCCACACTTTTCCCTTCCACATAACTTTCTATTAATGTGCTTTGATACAGCACTTTGGGAACATCCAACTTCTTTTGCAATTACCTTTTGAGGCTTTCCCTCCTTATGGAGGGTGTCAATGATGGTTTTCTGCACACCTGTCAGGTCAGCAGTCTTTCCCATGATTGTGATTCCTACTGAACCAGACTGAGAGACCATTTATAGGCTCAGGAACCCTTTGCAGGTGTTGTGGCTTAATGAGCGGATTAGAGTGGGACACTTTGAGCCTAGAATATTGCACCTTTTCACAATATTCTAATTGTCTGAGATTGTGGGTTTGGGGTTTTCATGAGCTGTAAGCCATAATCATCACAATTATGACAAATCACGTCTTGAACTATGTTGCTTTGCATGTAATGAGTCTATCTCCTATATTAGTTTCACATTTAAAGTTGCATTAGTGAAATAAACTTTTGCATGATATTCTAATTATTCGAGTTTCACCTGTAGGTCTTATGGTTCTTTCACACCACATCAGTTTTCTGTCTGCCCTGGAGGTGAGCCTGCATTGATCTGTGCAGATCTATACATGTTCAATGCCAGGGCAGAGAGAAAACTGTTTTCTAGGTGCCTTGTTTCCACCATAAACCGGTGTTGTGGGTTGAGAGGTGTTGCATATAAAATGCAGACCATGCTGCATTTTTTTTCTCGATGTGGCATTTAATTCCTCAGCGTGTTAACTCTTTCTGCAGAAACCAATGTAATAGGGGAGTGACAGCATTCAAACTTTAAAATGAGTGTAGGAGCCCCTGATGCTCAGCCCGAATGGCGTACTAATTAAGAGTTTTCAGAGACTGGGTCACAGCAGTGTGTGCCATGGCCCTTGACCTGGAAAGCACTATGCAGCTAACCCAGTAAGCAAAAGACATGCAGCATCTTTTTGTAAATTGCTGCAACTCACCTTATGTTCCCTAGAGTCACCGCTGAAGTGCACTGAAGTGTAAAATTTTTTGTGACATTTCAATAAAATAAAAAAAAGGTAAATCTGTGCCTTAGATTGTAAAAGTGAGATTGGAATCTCTGCTCATTTGTAAATCGTGGTGGTAATGGATCATTTTACTGACAAATATATATTTATATGGAGTGCCCATTTCAATTAAAAGGAGCCAAGTGAGTAACTGTTTCCATTTAAATTTAAGGTTAGCATAACGCCAGTCCTTAACTTCTTCCTGCAGGATAAGATTTGGGCAGGGTTACTCCGGGAATATTGTTAATTCCATTTCTAGTCTTTTGCTTGTCTCCTCAATGATACTGAACCAATATGAATCTCGCCTACTAATGAATAGATGCAGGTAGTAGAGGCTTAATCTCGGAAAGAGTTGTTAAATGATTATATATGAATACCTGGATAATATGGTTTGCCTTTTTGCTACTGGAATATTGGCATTATAATCAAACTGAGTCATTGTAACAAATATTGATGACATTTGTTGATGTTTTATTGAAACAGAGAATAACTGTACTTGAGGGCTCGTTCACACCGAAAGCATGTGCTGGAACGCACCGCGATCGCTGAGAAACCCCCACCCCCCCCTATTTTTTGCGCTCTACAGTGGAACGGAACGCTGGCAAAGTTTTGCCAGGCGTCGGATCGCACTGCGGGCGGCATGGAAGCGGTGACATTGAATAAAATGCACTGCCACACCCCCTCCCGCCCCAAAACGCAAGTTTCTCAGCAATCGGGGTGCGCTCCAGCAGCTACCGCTCTGGAACGCACACTCTTTCGATGTGAGCAAGGCCTGACGGTATTATTAAATTCAGTATTAGTAATCGTTATGGAGTCTGTTATTTTCATGTTCAACCTCAGGGTGCATAGTACCTCCTACTCTAAAAGAATTCAGGTACCTGTTTTTATTTGGGCTTTTTTTTTTTTTATTATTATTATAAGGAACGTTATCCTGTGCGATTCATTAATTCATTCCTTCATTCTTAGGTACATTGTCATTTTAGTGATAATTGGAGGCACTGATATTGTTGATATTTTAAATGACTAACATTTATTTTATGGAAATGTATTGGAGATATTGAGGATTATTTTAAAAAACACACTGACATTGTCTGGTCACTCCACAAATTTACTGTTTAGTGTACACAACTTAAAATATTACAATGAAGAGTGCACAAAGGCTAGGATACTGGTTGAAAAATAGTTGCGTTATAGTGGTCTTACCAAAAACACAGGAAGCTGGAACTTGTCATTTAACACCACAGCCTGGACGCTGCATGGTCCAGATAATCGAACCACCACTTCTTTACCAAAGAAATTTGCATGAAAAATAAACAGAAGTATTCCAGATTCTGGAAAGAGGAAAAAGTAGTGAATTAGGAGTTTTCCTTTCATTCATACTCAGAGTAGAGCACTGCTGGATAGACCAGCTGTATACCAGCCAGCAGACTGGTGCTGCTACATTTACAGCCCTCCGATTATGATGACTACTATACAATGGACGTCAGCTCTGTTATTGCTCCACATTTCCCATAACTAGTTGTCTTCTGCACCAGAACTAGCAAAGCCTTAAAGCAGGTTATAAAATACTAAGGCCATTTGTATGCTTCGTGTGGGTTTTGAATTCACAAAACCCGACAATGGCAATGCAAACCCTGCATGAAGGTCAAGATTGCAGATCAGAAGGTCAACTGCATCTGTCAATTCATTTTGAATGATCAGAAGCCAAACTGACATAATCAACACAAGCCCAAAGTCCATTCACACAAAAAGGCAACCGCTATACTTTAATTCAGGCTTCTTACACCGGTTTTCAAATCTACTGATGAAGCTCTGAAATGAGGGCCAAGAAACACAAAGAATAGCGCTTACATGGGAACGTTGCAATGCAAACACCTACCCTGCCAGGTTTTTTTTCTAGCCTACTCAATTTGAAGATGCGAGCACAACTTGCAATGACAGCTGGTTTTCTTGGACTGGTCCAATCTGCATTAGTGTCTGAGAAATGTTCTACAGCATTTCTATTTGCTGTAATAGCACCTATTGCACCTCTGCAACACACCGCAGTGCATGATGTGCTTTTCAGTGTGCAAAAAAGAAAAAAAGGAGCACGCACTATATTTCTGTGCTGCAGTGCGTTATACCCCATTCCTTTTTTAATGGGCTGGTTAATGCAACACACCTCAGCGCAATAAAAAAAAAAGTATATTGTAAATGGGCACTTCACGGGTCATCAATACTGAATGGAAAGCAAGAGACCATTCTACCACCATTGGCTCACACAGATGTATGCTGGGAGTGAGATCCAACACTCTACTCATACTGATATAAATAACGGCTCCACTTAACTGACAAAGAACTGTGTTAAAGAAAAAAAAAAAAAAGCTGAAGCTCATTTGTGGTACACTTGTCAACAGATCTCTTCTATACCAAGGAGAGGATTCCTGCTAAGTACATTGTTTAACCATATCTATATTCATGTTTCTACTGCAGTATCCCTTCAAACACTAGATTGGATACCTGGAACAATTTCAAATAAATGTATCAAACACCAACCCTTTTGAATAACACATTACAGAGAACAGTGGACCATTAACATCCATGTGTACCAGTGGGGCTTACAAGGTCAGAGGAAAGACTCTTAGAAAATGTGACACTAAAGCTGGCCATACACCTTGCAGTTATCTGCAGATGTTCTATGGTAAGATGGAAAAGTGCAACAGATTCCTCCATCTACGCTAAGCTGTGTGGATGGAGGACTCTCCCACCGGGCCAAGCTTCAGTATCTTACTAGTCGGCCCCGATGGTTCTCAAAACACCTGAACAATCTGATTGGATGCAGGCATTGTTCAGGTATTTTGAGAGCCAGCGGGGCCGACTAGCAAGATACTGAAGCTTGGCCCAGTGGGAGATTCCTCCATCCACACAGCTTAGCATAGATGGAGGAATCTGTTGCACTCTTTCCATCTGACCATAGAAAATCTGCAGATAATCTATTAGGTGGATGGCCAGCTTTTAGCCACCATCACTGGTTCAGAACTGTTCATGAGGCTAAACAATGCAATGTATGTTAGATGAATGTGCTGCTATACAATATAATACAAAAAATTTTCTCCAAGCAACTTGAATCAAATGTTTTTCCTTTTGTCATTTTCTAGTGCAGCTTTGAAACGGATTGGTGGCTGTAGGCTTACCCAGTTGTTAGCTTATACAGTCACAAGCCCCATGAGATCTGGGACAGCACAGAAACAATAAACTGATGTGATAGGAGTGTACCTTCAGGAATATTATAGGGGGGTTTGTAGTTGAAGTCCAGAGAAAAGTCTGGTCCCTCAGACAGCCTGTGGCAGGCGATGGGAAAGATGGGTTCAAGCACAGCAAGGCGTGTCTCAAAATAATCCTTTATTGCATCTTCCACCACCCTGGAAAGTCTGAAAGAACATTGAGAATGTTAGTGTGTTTACTCAAATGTTATCAAGGCTCGCATAATCTGGTCTTAATATAGGAAGAAGATACAATGCCAGTATCCCATGTAAAAATCTGCCAATCATCCGGCCATTAGGGACTCACTAGGTGGAGATCACTGGCACTTATGACACTCATACATGTGAAACAGAATATTTCATATTATATCACACGAAGGGCTTCATTGATAAAAGCAAATGTATCAGCTTGCAACTTGCAAAAAAATGACATAAAATACAATACATGTGGGCTGTTGTGGGTTTGGATAGATGGATATAGTTCTGACCAAGAAAAAAAACCAACAGCCCACTCTCATTGTTCCTTTAAAAGAGTAAAAACACATGATCCAGTTTGGTGTTGCTACCAAAGATGACATTATTCCTACCATTGCATACAACTGACACATCATTCGCAGTGTAATGGTAAGAAAGTATCTACCTACAGGTGTGGCTTGTGGTACAAAAATCTTTGCCTCGGGATGCAAAATATATAAGAAGTCTGTGTGTGATTTATTGGCCTAAAATCAAAATAATTTTGGATGGAATGACCCTTTACCACAAAGGAGTAGTCTCTTTTTACTAAGCTAGAAGAGGCCCACATACAGCCAAAACAAGAGTTTTACATTTCCTTTAAAAAACAAAACAAAAACCACAATAAACACACACACACAAAACAGAAAAAGAAACACTTACTTTTCCAAATGGCCATTAATGAATTCATATAGCAGCACATTATTGTTCTGTTTAGTGAACTGTAAAGCATTGCCCTGGTGCTTTGACAGCACATTACAGTCTGCACCTTGTTCTATCAAGAGTCGCACAATATCATAATTCCCTCTCTTACATGCCTAGAGAGATGAGAAAAAAAAACAATTACTTTGTTATATATGGATGCTCAGCTCTCAGACGTTTTTCAAATGTCACTTCCTATTGTGAGTTTCGTTTAAATTGGAAGATTAAAGCCCACCTCCAGGACAAATGGTAACCTTCCTCCCACCCTGCTCAACTGACCGCTGCAGTGGAAAAAAACAAACAAAAAAAAACAAAAACCACTGCAGTCTCAAGTCTTCTCTCTTCCTACAGTCTCTGTCTTCAGGTATCCACGTCACTGCCTGCATGGTCCCCTGCACCTGGAAATTGTGCCGGCCATGGAGCTGGGGTGGGTGAGAGGTAGGGATGGGGGTCATATTTTAGCAGGAGTGGGATACTGTCCTCTGTATCCCAAACAAAACAAACACTCTAAAACAAATAAAAGTAAGGGGACAGAAGGCAAAAACAGTAATTGAAAATATTCAACTTTATAACGGATATATAACTGGCATATTGAACACGTTGCTGCCTTGTCACCTTGTTGTAAAGCAAAGAAGAGAATTGGTTTGCACAGATACCGGTTTTTCGGTATCAAGTAAGAGTACCGATATTTATATTTCGGTACTCACCGATACCGTTACTTCCGGTAGCATAAAGCCGGCTTCCCGGGCAATCAGGAAGCCAGGTGGCATGCCATGACCCACCGCCCGGCTTCTTGATTGCCCGGGAAGCCAACTCCATTCTATTTTGCTGGCTCGATGATGATTGGCCGGGAAGCCGGCTTCCCAGCCAATCAGATCTGATAATATGGTGACACGACCCCCACCCTGCAGACACCTCATTCCCCTCACATAGATCCTTAGCAGCCGTCATTACCTTACCTGTCCCTCGGCCAGCTGGGCAGACACCCCTCTCCAAGCTCTCCCGGATCTGCCCACGTCTTCTCTGTGTACAGCGCCCGCTTGATCAGCCCTCAGCCTGCTACTGCGCAGACTGCCCAGCGCTCTCATTCAGAAATCCTGTGCATGCGAAGTAGCAGGCTGAGGGCCGATCATGTGGGCGTTGTGCACATGGGAGACGTCGGCAGATCTGGGAGAGTGGTGTCTGCCCAGAAGGCCGAGGGACTGGTACAGTAATGACTGCTGCTAAGGATCTATGTGAGGGGAATGATTTGTCTGCAGGGTGGGGGCGTGTCACCATATTATCAGATTTGTTTGGATGGCTCGATACTGATTGACTGGGAAGCTGACTTCTTGGCCAATCAGCATCGAGCCATCCAAACAGCATGGAGCCAGCTTACCGGCTCCATGGTCCCTCGCGGCACTGCCGGTCAGAGGAATTCTCCCTCTGACCAGAAGTTCCAGTATCGGAGCATTTGGGCGAGTACAAGTACTCGCCCAAATACTTGATATCGGCACTGATACCGTTACTAATATCGGTATATTCCTAGTTTGCATCATCTTACAGATGGACAGAACATGGCTTACTTCACAAGACAAGGTTAAGAGCAATGAATTATGGAACTTGCTATATAATCATTATGCTGCTTTATTCTGTAACGAATAGATGTGCTAGCAAAAATAAAGACGAATTGTAATCCATATATAACAAATTTCATGATGGGAATACGAGTATGAAATGAGTCCAGGCAGACACTGAACATATAATGGATGCGAGTACTTTTTTTTTTTACCATCATGAAGACAATATACACAAGGAAAAGGTTGCTTCATACACAGCTAGAGCCAGGGAGACAACGATTATGCAACCTATTGAGGGATGGATTTCACATCTTGGATCTTCCCAAGACAGATGAGGAATTTTTATGTATCCAAAACATACATTTACCTTCATCAGGGCTGTTTCCCCAGTTGCTTGTTGTAAATTCACAAAAGCTCCAGCTTCCAGCAGGATGGAGACAGTTGTCAGATAATTCTACGAAGAGAAGAACGTCGTTACAATAAAACTCAATATTCTTACACACAATTCATGCTTTTATTTGCTTCAAAATTGTCACAATACAATCTATGGGAATGCAAAAGCAGCTTAAACAAGTCAAATGCACCTGCATGCATTTGTGAGACTCTTAGGATCATTCATGTCCTAAATGCACAATAAATTTGCCCATCAAAGCTGATCGCCCGAGGTTCTTGCTCTATCCTGTTTCATGTAATGTGTATAATACACACTATGCGGTAACCAGAGAAATAGGATTTGTGCAAACATCTTTTTTTGGGGTCCATTGAGGGACACAGGAAGGCTTTAAAGGAGAAGTGAAGCCAACCTTTTTGACTATATTTCTCTTTTGCGTCACAGAAGCACATCTTCTAACAGGGTAGAGCAGCGCTCAAGAAGGATCCCTACAATATTGCTCCTCGCTGGCCAATGGACAACTGACTCTGCCAGCCATGCCTCCCCCCCCCCCCCCCTCAGCCTGCAGCTCTATCCAGCATCGAGTCCTAATACCAGCATGCCTCAGTTTTGTAGCAAAGCAGTACCAAAAGCATGATCATAAAACACAGGGGTGGGACCCGTGCCCCTCAATGAACATTTTCTTACAGCGAGCACAAAAATCCTATTTTTTGTCTCGTCTATTTAGGGACACAAAATTTTAAAGTGATACGAGTATTAAAGTCAAAAGGATTTTAAGGCAGGGATTGACAAGTTTTCTGTGAATCTAGGAGCCAAATTGCAATAGCCAATAGCAGGCTGGCGATTGCACCCACCCACTCTCTGCTGTCAAATCAGCAGAGGAGGAACTTAAAGGCGGCACAAAGTGGTCTGATCCCTGCTGCCGATATAGACGGGGAGGGCAGCAGTGATCGAAGGGAACACAGACTGCTGCAGCAGGAGCCCAGTTGGGAGGACAACAGGAGAGCAGAGCTGATTGTGGCAGCAGAATAGGCGGAGACAGTGAACGGGCTGACAAAAGCCCAGGCGCCAGGATGCAATTTTTAGTCACCATGGCGACCTGGGATTTGTCAACCCCTATTTTAAGCCATTTTAAATGCCGATGAAATGACTTACAAATGAATGCTGCTCCTTGATGTTTAAAAGTTTTAGGGCCTGTTCACAAACGTCCGTTTTGTGTGCTGACCGGATCCGTACGCTGCTGCACTCAAAATGCATCCCAATGTATCCCTGTGTGTTTTATGGGCTACAGTTCTCACGTGCGCAGTCCGTTCAGCTTACGATAGAAAAAATACTGCATGTCACATTTTGTCAGGTCACGCACAAACGCACACAAAACGCAACGAGAACGGAAACGCAACGCAGCTAAGAAAAAAAAAAATTTGTATTCTTGCTCCACTTATTATGATGTTATCAACGATAGACAGACAGGTTGGGGTAGAGGTAACAATATGAACTGTAAACATTTGGAACATGCCCATTACCTTGCCATGGACATACGAGTAAAAGGAAAAAAATGTATCCGGTTGACCTCGCAAATCCTCATACAAACTGCAGAACTGACCCTTGGAGTCCCGAAACCTCAAGATTGGGTGTACCCAATAACGACGTCTCCTGCAGGCTCGTTCTCTGCAGATTGCTGTAGCCAGCACCATCAACATGCCTGCAAATATGTGATACATGTCTGATCGCCAGCTTTACATACACAAAGGGAAGTAGATGTTCCGAGAGGGCGGAAGTGACCTCAGAGGCTAAATCTGCATACTGACAGCCCCTTGGCTAAAAAAAAAAAAATTAAAAAAAATTAACTGTCAGCATCCAGACTGAAAACGCAGCTCCGCGTCTGCTGATCAGGACCTGATCTCATGTGAACAGGCCCTTAGTTTCCTGCAAAACCAGCTGGTTCTCGGAGCACTAATCCTGACTTGGGAGTGACTCCTTTCTCAAGCAGAGTGCAATGCAGTCACCCTTGTGTGTGCTAGTAAGCTGTGTGTCTCCACAAACACAAAGAGACAGCAAATCAAGCTACTTCCCACCCCCCTGGACCGCTCTCCTCCAAGCTAGTAGATGAACAGTAGCTGGAGTCTGCACTGTCCTTTGTGATCTTGTACTGCACAGGAAGATCAGGGAAGCTGAGCTAAGAGATTTGGAAGTAGCTGTTCTGAAACATGATGATTGTAAGTGCTTGGCCAAAAATTGCAATCATTGCTTTGCTGGGCAATGTATGTATTTGTTTGATCTGATTTAATTCTTGAAAGGGTGCAACCCAATACTAGAGACTAGAATCATGGATGATGGTATGTGTAAACCGCCTACAAATGGTGAAAAGAGAAGATGGTGCACCCTTTGATGGAACCTTTCGGAATGACAAAAAGAATCAGTATTTCTGAAGGAAGCAGCGGCAGAGAATTAGAATCTCACAGCCTGAATGACATACGCTGAAAGCAATGGAGGAAATGTTTCGGATGTGTTCAAAGGGTGCTTTTTTTTTTTAGAGTGCAGAGAGAACCAGGTTTAGATGGCAGAGTCACAGAGGAATGAACAGGGGGAGCCACATGGGAGGTACACACAATAAAAAGGAATGAGCCAATGGTCTTTAAAACAATATAGCAAGAACAGGGACCTGACCCTCAGGTTTTGAGAGAGCCGTATGCTTCTTCTGAGGGAAAGTATTCTTCACAATCCTCCCCCAAGAGGCAGCAGTTTACCACAGGGGTCTATTAGTCCTCACACGGATGTGCAGTGGTCGTCAACAGGACATGCAATCCAGTCTTCTCCCTCTATATGGGCATAGCCGCCAAAGGATGACTTCAGGGTTAGGGCTCCCTAAGCACCAGTAAAGCACCCTGCAGCTAACTGCCGGAACTGCACTATATGTCAAGGAGGGGGCTGAACACAGGGTACAGTTTGAAACAAATTGCAGGCCAGCCCTGTGTCTTCCTTCCAGTGGGGTTTAAAGTAGGGTATATCAACGCTCTGCCAAGGAGATAACCGATCTGGATAGCGGCAGATGGCACTGTAATGGCTAAGAGCAGCTTAGGGAAAAGTTGCTTGAAGAATATTGCAGAAAGAAAAAAAAAAAGGGATGAGGAAAGAGCTCATCTCAGAGCAAAGCAAGGACAGTATCCATCACCTAATGACACTAGCAATAGAAATGAGGCAGATTGGGAGAGGCCATGAAGGACTGTGCTGCAGCTTGGATTCATTTGATTCAAACAATTGAATGTAGCTGCATAACTCAGGGGTCTAAAAATTAATTCCCTGTGTCCTGTGATGTATGATCAAGAAAAATACATTCAGATAAAAGAAACCCTCCCAAATAAGCAGCATCATCATCAACCACAACATACAAGATCTGTTCCTTCCCACCTTTTCAGCAGCATGAATCAGCGCCGTAGTCCCGTTTTTTTGTCTAGCATTGATCTTGGCTCCCTTCCTGATCAGAAGGCGGAGAATGTCATCCTGTCCTGCAGCTGCAGCCATCATCACCAGAGTCATCCCACTAGAGTCCTGCGACAGATGGGAAAACAAGGATTTTTAAAAAAAGGAGAGTTACAGTTTAAAAGGAGAATCGTTTGTAAAAAGGGTCTGGTAAGTCAAGCTTACATTGACCACCATATGAATATTCTTCCACGCTTTATGTAATAAAACATTCAAAATATAAAGCAAGGCCTTTCCTGACATTTACCTATGGTTGGCAATGCCATGTTCACCAAATTCTCTTAAGGGTACATGTCTTCCCCCCTCCCCCTTAATGCGATTGCTCTGATCTACTTGAACACAACAAACAAGGTTTTTTCAACATTTGTCAGTAAACTTTGTGAATGAAAGGGAAGCATGGTCATTCAAAATGGAAGTACACCCTACGGTGTTTTAAATCTTAATCTGCCCCTCCACAGATCAGCAGAAGTGGAGGAGCATTTCCCACAACACCCATCATTATTTAAAGCTTGTTCACACTATATCCATGGCATTCCGGCATGGTTAGTGGACGGAACGCACTGGATCACATAGAGCAAGCCTCCCTCATTCTGGGGCAGGAGGGGGCGCGGTGGTGCCATTAATGTCAATGCCACCAACCATGCCGGAACGCACTGGATATAGTGGGAACAAGCCCTTATAAGCAGGGTAGCAATGCCAGCACTTCATCCTAGTACACCAAACAGTAGAGTATTACCTCTTGGTCCAGGTTGTACTCTTCTTTGGAATTAAGTGCATATTTCACAGTTAAGTAGTCCCCATTTTTGACGGCCTCTTTCAATGCACCTGATTAAAAAGACAAGAGAATGTTTCATTTTATACAATTCACGTCCACTGTAAAATGGCATAAAAGCAAATTTACTTACTATTAGAGATGGGATCCTTCGGCATAATTTCATCAGATCCATCAAGATGCCTCTGAAAGTCCTCCAAAGTCATCCACTCCAGCTGGAGATCCACAGCCATTCCACCTACTTGTGCCTTGCCTTCTAGAGAGGTTGCAATAAATACAACAGGAATTCAGTTTATCCAATTTTAAAGCTTAACTATAATCAGGTGAAAAAGACACCCCGACATCATTCACCATTCTGCTAAATGAAAGCGGTTCAAGTATCAGAACCTGACTTGGTGGCAACCTTTTGCAGCCAAGTACAGCAGCTTTTTGCAGCTGTACAGCAGAGCTCAGTCTGGGAGGGGAAGCACAAGGAGCCTAACAGTTTATGTGCTGACAAGGAAAATACCGATAGGAGAAGAGGCACAGGCTGGGGTACAGACAAGACCTGCAGTTGTTGCTGAACAACAACATAGAAAAGTAGGCTCCCTGCCAGTCAGGGCTATCACTTGTACAGTCAGCTGTTTTCCTCTGTTCAGCCTTAATGCACAGTGGTCAACATGAAAATCTCCCACATGGCATTTAGGGATGGTTTTTGAAAAAGTGAATGATATCCATTCACACACAGCCAACATACCCAATGAATAACCTAATATACCAAATATTGAAGGTTTTCTAGGATCTATGGGGTTCAAGTTCACCATGCATGAGACATTATCATAAATCAACATGAGGCCTCGTGCACACCAGATGCAGTGCATTCTGGCAAGATTCTGGCCACAACGCAGTGCCTCGCATTGCGGCCGGCTCACTTTTCTGTGTGGCAGGAGGGGGCCTGGCGGTCCATTGAAGTGAATGGCACTGTAGCCACGCCCTCTGGCCGCAATGCGATCGGCTGTACAGGATTGCAAGGCACATAATGCCTGCGGTCCAGTCTGGAGCGAACAAAATGCGGCAGCGAGATGTTAAGAATTTAGTTGCAAATGAAATTTTTTAGTGTGCATCAAGCAACCGACATTGTTTTAGTGTGCATTAAGCCACTGGCAAAAACAAAGAAAAAAAAAAAAAAATCGAAGACATGTGTCAATTTGTTTTGCCGGTTGCTTGAGTGCCGGATAATGGGGAGTTTACTGTACTAATATATAATGCTCCATGTAATTAGGTCCCCCTCTGATCACTATTCCCCCCCAGGGCCTCAGCACTGTTTGTCCAAGTTTCTTCCTCGCCCCCAACTAGATTTGTGTTTGGTATGTGTGATGTCTGTATTTTATTTTCCTTTTTCCTGTGTGTTGCTTGTTTTGGGGTCTGTCGCCCACCTCCGGTATTCTTTACTTGTTTAATAAAAAGCTGTTTAATAAAATACCTTTAAAAAATAATAATAAAAAAAAGGATTTAAATCCACCCGCTTCCCTATTGTTTATTAGGGTATACTTGCCTGTTTTGCATATTTTGTACTTTCATATTCAGCCCGGAATATACCATGCATGTTAAGGTGCACATACACTGTGATTTTTGTTCAGAAATCGTAGCGAATGGTCTTTCAAGCGGTAATTGAACAGTTGATGGTACATCACCGATTTTCGTTTTTTAAATTGTGATCGAAATTTTTCGATCAGCCAGGTTGGATAAAAAATTTCTGACCGAACAAAAAACAACTTTCATCAAAAATCTCAGCAAGAATACAGCACATGTGCAGAAGGAAATTATTTCCGTCGTTCGGCAAAAATTGGTTAGTATGGCTAGCTATTTTGGAAATCAACATTTGACTATGCTTGATGAGGTATTCAAGCTATAATTAAATATGGTTTATTTGTAGAAACAAACATTTCTGACCAAAAACTACTAGTGTATGGCCACCTTTAGAGAGAGAGGTTGTGCTCACAGGGCCTGTATGTTTGGAAACTTCCAGAACTGTTGAGTTTAGTATAAACTGAGGCTCTAGCTGTCATAAGCAGCACTATTTTGGCAAAGTAACAGCATGGATGGCAAGTATAATTTTCTCACATTTTCTCTCAGTGTAATCCTATAAAAAAGCAGGAGATCTAACGAAAGCACATACCAGAGTTTTCCTGCTTGCGATACACTGTGTCCATAACCTCTTGATCCCCTTCAGAAGCTCCAAATGTCCATGAATCGGTTTCTTCTTGCGTAGATCTCCTCTCTTTAAATGCTGGTTTCACTTCCTTAGCTTTGTAATCTTCGGAGGATCGAAAGTCAAAAGACTCTTGTTCCTTCCTAATGCTCTCCAAACAATCATCTCGATCTTCAGAAGATATGGTGAAGGCATCATACACATGTTTTTGTTCCTTTAGAGCTAACACAATTTAAAGTATTACAATTTGTAGCACAGATACTGTAACATCATATGGAACAGATTTGCTCAATTACATCAATATAAGAAAAAAGGAATATTTAGATGTGTGACTGCAATATAAACCTGTTGAGGCTCAATGTCAGATGTAAGATGAAGAACCAGTCTATTCTAACACGGATAAGTAGGTATGTGCCAAACTTGACATGTAGGAGGTACAATTATGTGGCTACTACATATACGTGATTGCCATGTTAAACTGCAACTATTTTCCATTTACCCTATTTAAAGTGACATTAAAAGGATGAATTTTTTTTCCCCTCCCCCATGTTAATGTCAGCACTTACCTTAAATGATGTCTCTTAATCCGATCTTCTTTCCCCATGTTTTCATCTGTTCCTCTAGCGGTGCGGCAGCTCTCCGATCCAGCGCCGACTCCTCTCTGCTTACAGGCACTTCTGATCCAACTGTGTCTGCATGCGGGTGCACGCGTCCATAGGTTTACCTTGCGTCTCTGCTCGTCTCCCGGCCGAGAATCCGAACTGCACATGCGCCCGCCCCAAGATCCTTTGCGGGCGCACGAACAGTTCGACTCTCGCCGCGGGAGCGCGCAGCGATAATAAGGGCAGTCTAAACCGCTGTTTAAGCGGGATTTTTTTTAAATTTTTTTTTACTTTTTGTCTTTTGGCAAAAAAACGGGAGGCTTTAGAACCTCTTAAGCTCTAATTTCAGTATGATCGTTTTAGTTGAAGAAAGCATTTATTTTATCACATGCTTAATAAACAGTCTCCGCCTCTAAAATATAAAGGACCAAATATAAAGGCTTTCCCACTAGCTGGATGCAACTCAAATAATGGTAATACACTGGAGGATGCAGGCACACAGGGATGCTTAAATGAGTGCACATACATCATGTTCACCAGCTGCCTGGTGTTAAATCAAAGAAACAGACATCATTAAATCATATGATAGTTGATGGGTGGACATCACCCTTTAACAGAACGTTGCCTACAAGTTCAACCTAACGATAATTTACAACAACAACAACAACAACAACAACAACAGGAATTCATCAGAACAGACTACATTTTTTTTTTTTGTCTGATGTTCCCGATGGACCCGGACCTACTAAAAACCCCTCAGTGATTTACTATGGCTAGTAAAGCTATTCTGCATGGTTGTTGCAAGTCTTTGTTTATGTAGCTCTGTATAAAAATTAAATTTAAAAAAAATAAATAAGGGAAAATGTTACAGACCTTTTACCACTTTTAGCTCCTTCTTTGCTTCTTTCTCAAACTCATGCTTTTTCTTGGGCTTTTCCTTGACTATTTCAGCTTTCTTTGTTTCCTTATTCTAGTAGTAAATCAAAAAAGAGAGTTAGAATTAAAAATTCTAGCAACAAAGCAATGGAATTGTCCATTAGATCAAACAAAGCTCTAAAAACACACGCAAAACAACATTTTGGAACACTTCGGAATCCTGTTTTAATATTCAGAGCACTTCAACTACGAAATACTTTCTTCAGCTCTGTGTACACTTAGGAACATGGTGGAACTCAAGTCAAATCATAATGACGATGGCAGTGCCACAGCCTCTAATAAACCACAATGGCTCACAATTGATATGGCCCAGAAACCGAGACAATTAAGGTGAACAAAGCACCTGGACCGGATGGCTTACACACTACTGCTAAAATGTGGGGCAGGAAAGAACTATTAGCAGACACTGCAGACAAAGATTCTGGCTACTGTACGTGTTTGTTGGCTGGATATCGGCCATAATTGTTGCTTGCTGAAGGTGTAATCCAAATGTGCAGAGAAAAGGCCAGAGGAGGGTAAGAATGACATATTAGAAACAAATATGTTCTTGAGTGTTTTTTTTCTATGTATACATTTTCATATACGTTTGAAGATTCATCTAATGTAAACAATGTTATCAATGAGTGTTAAACAATAAGTCTCACCATAGTTTTCACAGCTCAGTCACCTAACTCCCACAGTGTATGTTGGTTTTTATCCCTATTGTCTATGCAGGTTTTCAGTCCTCCAGGTCATAGGTATCTAGTGTTAAAGAACATCTCCAATTATTTAAAAAAAAATGTTTTGCCTTGCAGTGGGTTACCCCCACACTACCAGGGTCAACCACTTGTTTTTTGTCTAGGGGCCACAATACAGAACGTGTACTCACCTGACCCTTGGTCCTGTGGCAGTCAGTGCTCACCTGTCTCCCCCTCCTCTTCAGCAGTGCTATGTGCCTCAGTGTTCTCAAATCTAATGCAAGTGAATGGACCTGCAATCGACGTGATGTCAGCGGGGCTTAGACCACCAGAGCCCGGGGAGAAGAGGAGACTGCAGGGACCAGTCTAGCAGCCAGGCCCAAGGATCAGCCAAGTATAAATGTTTTTAAATTTGAGCCCCAGGCCAAAACAAGCAGTAACCCTTGCATTGTGGGGTAGCCCCACTGCATGGATTAATTTTAGCGATTCCTAGAGTTTATTCAAAATCAGTTTTCTAAATGGACCAATGCAGAATGAACTAAATTGTGGTGAAATGCCTTTATACCGATCCAGGCCGGTTGGATCTATTGAGCAGCAGCTGCCCTCCAGGAGAGCCACACAGAACTACCCACCACCCCAGAGCCGCACAGTTCTCTATATTCTGCATTGTTGTATATTTTATTGCTGGGATATGTAGCCCTCTGTAGTTGGCGGTATTCTGCATTGTTGTATATTGTATTGTTGGGATATGTAGCCCTCTGTAGTTGGCGGTATTCTGCATTGCTGTATATTGTATTGCTGGGATATGTAGCCCTCTATAGTTGGCGGTATTCTGCATTGTTGTATATTGTATTGCTGGGATATGTAGCCCTCTATAGTTGGCGGTATTCTGCATTGTTGTATAATGTATTGCTGGGATATGTAGCACTCTATGGTTGGTGGTATTCTGCATTGCTGTATATTGTATTGCTGGGATATGTAGCCCTCTGTAGTTGTTGGTATTCTGCATTGCTGTATATTGTATTGCTGGGATATATAGTCTTCTATAGTTGGTGGTATTCTGTATTGCTGTATATTGTATTGCTGGGATATATAGCCCTCCATAGTTGGCGGTATTCTGCATTACTATATCATGTATTGCTGTGACATAGTCTTCTATAGTTGGTGGTATTCTGCATTGCTGTATATTGTATTGCTGGGATATATAGCCCTCCATAGTTGGCGGTATTCTGCATTACTATATCATGTATTGCTGTGATGTAGCCCTCTATAGTTGGTGATATTCTGCATTGTTATAGAATATATTGCTGAGATTAGTTCCTTTACAGGTTGGAGTCAGTGGCAGAACTACCGGGGGTCACAGGGGTCGCAGCTGCAACTGGGCCTTGGTGCTGACTGCAAGCTGTAGAGAGACTGTTCCCTTGTAGTGTGCTGTATGACATGTACCTTAGTAGCACACTGCAATGGAACACTTCACTCATTAGCACAGGACAGAGGTACATGTCACTCTGTAGTGTAGCTAAAACTTCTTGTATTGTATTTTTCTTCTAAGATTTAGGCACATAATTAGTTCAGACCGTCGTATGAAGTGTTTTTCTAGAAGAAATCATCAGTATTCAGGTCTAAGTGTAGGGTTGGCACAAAGAGACACATAAGTAGGTTTAGTGATCCAGTTTGGGCACTCGGGCAAAAAAAGGTTTGCCACCACTGGTCTAGGGCATCTCAACCCGTTTTAAAAGCTAAATATGCTAAAAAATTAGCCAGCCCACACAACATCCGCTTAGACTATGAGTACCTAAATTAGTAACAGAAAGGAATTAATATGTACTGTGGGAGAACTTCTGTTTTCTCTGCATAATCCAGAGATTGGGCAGAGGAGGACAAGGCTGGCATTTAATCTATATCCAATTTACACAGTGATTAACAATTTTGTTTATACACCTACTTCTGCCAAGGAGTCCACAGACTTCCTAACTTTGTCATCAGTACTGGGCCTCTTCAGCACTGGGGCTGGTAGTTTTTCCACAGCTAAGGCTTCTTTAACCTTTTCAACTGATTTTTGCTTTTTCACCAGGCTTTTCTTGTCCTGATGGCTGGCATCAAACAACTCAGCCTTGGCATCATCATTTTTCTTTTTGTGTTTCTTTTTCTTCTTTTTCAATTTTACTTCATCCACCTCCTCCTCAAGAGGACCCCCAAAAGAAAGTTCCTCTGCTTGATATGGAGGGGTGGTTTCTGGATTTCTAAGGTCTCCATCCTGGCCTATTTTGTCTCTGTCTTCTGACAGGACATCGCTGCATATGCTAACAGTCTCTGCCTCAGGTCCTACAGGCGATGTTTCTTCCTTAGACAGCTCTGACCTCAATGATTTTTTGGGTTTCTTCTCTTTCTGGTCCTCTTTCACTTTAGTGTCCTTGGCTTCTTCCTTCTTGGACTTTTTGGAGTCCTTGGTGTCATCCTTCTTAGGCTTCTTGCTGCTCAGATCCTCCTTGCTCTCGGACAGTCTTTTCTTTGATTTGGACTCAGTAGGCTGGCTCTCTGGTTCCACCTCAGGCTTAGATTTTTCCTTTGATTTTCCAGATTTAGATTTTTTCTTTATCAATTCTTCCTGAAGCTTGTCATCATCCTCCTCCTCTTCCTCCTCCTCCTTAGATTTCTTCTTCTTTTTCTGGGGCGTCTCCTCTTTCGAGTTGCTATCAGACTCTGCCTCAAAAAGATCCTCAGGAAACAATTTGGGCTAATCAAAAAGATAAAAGAAAAACATTGTAAGATGTCTTATTTATAGAAGAAGAACCATTTATACTATTCCTCCTAGATGAGCATTTCTCATCCTTTTTTAAGTGACCTCACCTTGTAAAAAGTATGCAAAACCTTGAATCATCCCATTCTAAAAAAACAGGATTTAAAAAAGGTAAAAATGACCACCCCTTTACATCGGGAACCCCCCTTCACATTACAACCCTCCTTCACCTCAAGAGCCTCTTTTACATTAGCGTTCCCCCTTCACATCAACTCAAACGGCATAACCCTACATCTCAGAATTCGTCACAGCTATGTCCCTCAATGGACAATAGAGGGGGGGGGGAAACCTATTTGCAATTTTGTATGTCACAAAATATTTGTGAAAATGTTTATCAAACCAATATTTTTAGGATAAAATACACAAAAATGTCAGTGCACACAAGCAGAATTAAAGCTGCAACTAATGATTATTTTCATGATCGATTAGTTGGCAGATTATTTTTTTGATTAAATCGATTAAAATCAGATAAAAAAATACCATCCTTAATAAAATACAGTGTTAGAAACAAAGTTTACTTCAGAATAAAACTGCATGCACAATTTTTAGTAATCGCACTGCACTGGAACACATCGCGGTAACGTGCGTTCCAGTTCGTGCTGCCATTGAAATGATGGCACTGCAACACACCTCCCACAGCAGTATTTGTCAGGCCGGAAACAAAAATGACTTTCACACCTTTTATAATATTTTTCTTTTTACTGTATTGTAAGCACATGGAGCTTGAATAGATTCAGCCAGGGAATGACAGCTGCCAGTGGCAAGATTCCGCAGATGACAGCTGAATGTAAATACAGCAGGTAGTGGATGGGTGCAATAACCAGCCTGCTATTGGCCATTTCAAATTGCAATAGCCAATAGCTGGCTGGCTATTGCACCCGTCCACTGCTTGCTGTGCCCTCCTCCCAGCGTGGAGGAGAGAGCTAGGGGATCCAACCAACTAATCAATAGTTGATAACTATTCCCATTATCGATTAGTTGGTTGCAGCCCTAAATATAATAACCAATTTTTTGGTAAAATATGAATGATGAGGTTGTGTTGGATAAACAGATAGAAAATATGTCAAGCCTTAAAATTGCATGCACCTGTGAAATTGCAAAAAACTACAGTACCCAAAATTGCCCATAGATGACAATTTGAAAGCCATTACCCCTCATGAATTTAGCCTCAACAATGAGTGATGGCCCTAAAATTATTTATCTCTCTCTGACATTCCCAACAGTGATATGCAACATGTGTAGCAATTGTTTTCGCACGTAGGCACACCTGAAGCATGTGAGTTTGTATGTTCGTGTACTCGGGTGCTGGAAATTTTAAACTTTGTATGTGACTAAACGCCCAGTTACATCCAAGAAGCTCCCGGCAGGCCGTGTATACACAGCGGCTGGCCGGGAGGTAGTTAAACTTTTTTTTTTTTAAAACACCTAACTTTATTGCCGTCACATGAGGACTAACATGCTCCCTATGAAATAGCACAGATACAGTCCTTTTATGGAGAAATCAGGGGTCCATTAGGGCTGAAAAGAAGTTATGAAATACACATCACATTCAGTTTCAGCGATCAGAGGTGAGATCAGCCACTGGAGGTGTGCTGATCTCCCTCCGATCGAAGCGCAGAAACCCATGTGGGTCCTGGGCCCCCACAGGGGACAGCAGAGTTCTGGGAGCATACACTCCCCTGCTGTATACAAGCAATCAGGTTACTCAATAACTACCCGAACCTTTGCATACGACAATCAGAGATCATAGATGCTTCACCAGCAGTCATTTTGGTATATTACAGTCCTGAAGTGGTTAAAGTACAGGAAAAATTTAAATTTGCACACCCAATGTTGTGTGTAAAGTAACATAAGAAAAGCTGCATGTAATGTGTAGAAAGCTGCCTCAACGTATACAAATCTTACCTTGCAGCACGCCGGCTCCTATACATAACGCCGATCTTTCCGACATTGTGGAGCAGTACAGTGCTTCAGTCGCATGCCCTGTCCTCCACAACATGCCTTATATTTGTTTCAAAGAATAAGAGGTGTTCTGTCACTGGAGGAGAGAGGTCACATCCCCATACCCTCTTCCAATTCTTTTTTGCATTTTGTGAATAGGTAAGTAGTGAGGAGAGGCAGGATGTGGCTGGAGCTCTTCACTGCTCAAGTTCGTTCCCACATCCCAGAACGGCATGTGTAGGACCCAGCACGCTGCAAGTTAAGATTTTTATGCTTTGCAGGAGCCCTTTATATACAATATGCAGCTCTTTAATGATAAATTACACACCCAGTGCAGTGCATAAATTATCATTTTTCCTGGAGTTGGACCATGCAGCTTTCCACCCATTTAGGACAAATCTTTCTCCCCACCCCAGCATATACCTACCTTTCCTTAGCTCCCCCACTGCTCCGTTTAGTATTAAGAGCCAAAGGCTATACCCAATACTTCTAGGTGGAGATAGCCCGATACCAATACGAGTATCGGTATTGGGCATTTTCACGAGTACTTGAACTCGTGAAAATTCCCCGATACTAAAGGCCAATACCGGCCCTTTAATTTTATTAACAGGAGCGGCTGCCTGAGGTTGCTTGCTCAGCGCTTGCTGGAGAACACAGGCAGCCTGATGGGGACAGCGCCGGTCCAGCCCCACATTTCCTCCTCCTTCCCCGCACCCCCAGGGGCCTGGGCAGCCCTGGCGAGACCGGCACCTGCCTGGGCAGCCCTGGCGAGACCCAAACGCATGGATTGATGGGATCTTTAGTCCTCTATTGCTGGTTGCCATTCTCCATTACTTCTTCATAATTATACAGAAACTGCCCTAAAATCATTAGTCTGTTTTGTTTTAGAAAATAAATGTCCCATCTCCCTTTAAGAAAAAGTATCGTATCTGTCAGTACCGAGGGAAAATACTTGTTCTTGAAAAAAATGGTATTGGTACATCGCTACTTCTAGGTCTGGAAAAGCATGCGAGTCACTCAATACAATAGGGCAATAGGCACTGTCACATGAGGAATCCATAGCCCTATGTACGCTGCAAAACGTGGCTTAGGCAGAACTTCCTGTCACTCTGAATGGAGCAGATTCACCTTGAGCATGAACATCAACTGTGTTAGAGGATCCCGTCCACACTGCGCCATTGCCATAAAGGACCAGACATCTAGTATACACATTACATTTTGCTGAATGAGCACAGAATTGAAGTGGAAATCTGTCACAGTTGTAGGCAACACAAACTAGCCCAACGAGAAAGAACATTCATAAGCAGAGATTAGCTACAGTGAACACCCAAGAGAAAATAACGATGGAGATATAGGCAGCTGAATATGTATACAAAACAAATTTTCCTTTAAAATGTGGAGCTTGGGCACATTCCTTTATAGCACCTGAGTCTTCCTATTGGTCAAGCAGGCACCCATCACAAAAACAAAACAATGGGAAACCTGTATAGGCAGAATGGGTGGGGGCAGGTAAACCCCCGCTGATGCAATATTGCTCTATAGGTTTAGTTTACATTGTCCAAGTTTGTAACAAGTTTACCTTCACATTTTGCTGCCACCAATGTAAGGCTTATGTTGGTGGCAGCAGTGACCTGTAGACAGACTCCCGGTTGGTATAGCAGCCAGGAGCTTATTTACACTCCTTCTGCAGGCTATCAGCTTTTTACTACGAGTGTGTTCGGCAGCTGTAAGCCACTTGATCACTTCTACAAACTGCGGAGATGCCACCCTGCCACCCTGTACATGCACAAACATAAACATGTGCATCAGGTGCACCTACGTACAAAATGGACTATTGTGTAACTCATTTTTAGTATTGCTGCACATTATGTAGTAACAGCAATAACTCTAGGCCCATCCGTCACTGTAACTAAATTGATGATCTGTAAAGGTTTTTGAAGCATCACCTATGGACAATCTTGGGTACCAGAGCTTGTCACCATTTCACATGTATGGTACCCATTTATACAAAGCAACCTCTTCTTTCATATTTTACCAAAATTGGATAACATTCTGTTTGTGAGCACCAACATTAACTTCAGCATATATTTTACTAAAAACATGGGTATGACAATCCGTTACACTAAAATCAAGTAACATAAAAAATGGCAACTGCCTCCATTTGCTTTGGGAAAAAATATACATTTTGGGACGTTTAACACATTTTAACAAATGTGTGGCAGTGAAAGGGTTAACACAAACCTCTCAACAAAACAGCAAGTTTAAAAAGGATTAAATCCAGAAGGAACCCTTAGGGTACGTTCACAACAGGTGCAGTGCGTTCCGGTCCGATTCTGGCCGGAACGCACTGCATCGCATTGCAGCCGGCTCACTTTTTTGTGGGGCAGGAGGGGGCATGGCGGGCCATTGAAGCGAATGGCACCGTAGCCACGCCCTCCGGCAATCGCCCGCACGGCATCGCCAGGCACATTGTGCCTGCGGTCCGGTCCGTTGCAATCAAAATGCTGCAAGCACTATTTTGATCACACCGGACCGGACAAGCACGCACAGCTGGCCTGCAGCAACCCACTCCAGGCTACAAATATATATTGGTAGATTTAACAACTTTTCACAAATTTACCGGTGATTCCTTCTTATCAACTTTCTGTTTGCTTTCTGCTTGTTTCCTCCTGAATTCAAGAAGAACCTCTTTGCAGTCTTCAAGATGGGCCTCCGGCTCCCAGGTGTCTTCACTCGCTTCAAATCCCTTCCAGCGCACTCGGTATAACACCTTTCCCTGCAAAAACACAACAGTGTGAATGATTAACAATCAATAATGATGACCAATGACATGTAGAGGCCAGCAGGACCAGCATTGCCCTGGACAATACCAACAACTAAACATTTCTGTACCACACATGCAATAGCTTTCCGTCTTCTTATAGCCAACTATTGAAAATGAAAGCTAGAAACTGATTGGTTGCCATGCACAGCTGCTCCAGAACTAATAATTCCCCCACCAGGTGTTTTGTATAACACATCATACTATCTACTTAGGTGTCTATATGCAAAGATGACATTCATTCTATATACATCATTCTGTCCAGGTCAACAGGCCAGAGGCAAACATGGAGAATCCAAATTGATGAAAGTTTCTAGCTCTAGTCTAATACTGTGCAGGAAAAGACATGGAACTGGTACAACTGTCAAAGCCTATTAGTGGAGAACTTGCGTCACACTGTGTCTAGGGGCTGCAACTAATGATTATTTTTATAATTGATTAGTTGTCCAAATTTTTATTAACCAGATTAAAAAAATTAAACAAACACCACCGCATAGTTCTCATTTAAGCCATTTCAGATGCTGATAAAATCACTTATAATAGATACATAAAAGTTTTAGTTTCCTGCAGAATCAGCTGCTCCCCTGTGAACTGGCACGGATATTGTGTTTTAGAGTGGCTCCTTTCCCTTGCAGGGTCCTATGGAACCACCATTATGTGTCCAAGTAAGCTGTGTGTGTCTCTACAAACACACAAGCACAGCAGAGCAATCTACTCCCCGGCTTCCCCACTCCTTTCGCCAAACTAGTAGATGGGCACACCGGCAACTGTCTCTTATCTTGTACTGGACAGGAAGTTCAGGAAAGCTGAGCTGAAAGAGTTGGAGACAGCAGTTTGTAAACATGGTGACTAAGAGTTAGGGCAGAAACGTACGAAATGCTTTGCTAAGCAATTTAATTCTAGTTTGAAAGGAGAACTTTGGGGCAACTTTTTTTCCCCGAATAGTTCTCGGGGTCATGGGAGGACATATACTAAAGTCCTCTGGTGACCCAAAAGTCAGTAAGACCGCGACAGCCAGGACGGATCCCGACAATACTGTTGAGATCCACCCAGCTGGCTGATTGACAGCGGGCTCTGCCTATTTAGGAAGCAGAGCCAGCTATGCCCGCCCTTCTTCCGTCTGTCCCTTCAGTCAGCGCTGGAGGATCAGGAGAGGGGAATCCCTGCCTGCGGGGAGGGGTGATTGGCAGTCACCGCTCTCTGCAGGGAGATGATCAGGAAGCGAGCGAGCGGGGTTATGTGTTCGCTCACTTACCGATCAATAGAGCCAACCTGTGACAGTTTCAATGTCACACGTCGGTTCTATGGGGATGAGTGTAATTCACTCACTCTACAGTTTTCCTTTAATTTGTGTAGGTAGATGCTGAGTTTCTGTGCTGCAACTATAAACCTGTGCTAGAAATGCAATTTCCTTCAAATACTCTTTGTGCAGTGTTTAGAATAGCAAAACATGCACACATTTGCAACAAATGCAATGGAATTGTGCAGACGTTGACGTTCCCCTCTTCTCTGCAGTTACATAGCAGCCACAGTTGTTGATATGCAAATTATGAGCTGAATGGGAGCAGAAGTGTGACATTGTTGGGCAGAGGTGTCCAAGGGCAAAGCTTACCTCCCAAGGACAGCCCTGAACTCCTCATAGCGGCTGATGACAGGAACAAGCATTCCTGGGCCGTGTGTTCCAGGATCCTTGACCAGCTCACAGAGAGTCAGGCTCTGACACATGAGCTGCATACCCTACTGAGGCCCACAGACGGTAGAAAACTACCATCAGGCAATTTATAATGACTATATATTGGAAGAGACAGTCATACCATACAAATATACTAGCCTATATAGATTGCACTTTAAAATTACACTGGGAGGTCACCATCTGTGTCAAGTTTTGTACAACTCAACTTTGCTGAAAAGCAAAACATGAATAGAGATAAGCTGGCACCAGGCAATGCCGCCTTACAGGCAGTACCAGGAAGATCAAAGGGAAAGAAAGCACCACTTGGGATTCCATTCTCCGTGGCAAGAATACAATCAGACTTTCATTACATTAAAGCTGCATGAGCACATGACACAGATACGTTTTGGGAGAACCCTTGACGTTAAACATTAAAGACTCGTGCTTTGCCCATACAGGCAAACTAACAAATTTGCTTTAGTGTCCCCCTGCCCATCAGTAAACACTGACCTTTCCTTCACTCCTTTGCTGCTCCGTTCAACTGCTGGGAGCAAAGGAAACCTGAGCATGTAACTGCTCCAAGGACTAAAGCGGGGGCCCAATGTTCCTCATGATAATCTACTTGTCATGATACAAAAAATAAGTTTTACCAAACACCCTATTTAACTATATGAAGAAACACTTCTTGCAAGCGGGTAATTCCATTTTTCCAAATTACTTGGGAAAGTGAACTTACATTGTGCGTAGGGCTGCAACGAATGATTTTCATCATTGATTAGTTGGCCGATTATTTTTTAGATTAATAGGCTAAAAATAAATAATTTGCATCCTTAACTTGAAATAAAATACACACATGCAATGTTCCAAAGTTTACTTCAGAATAAAACTGCATGCACAATTATTTGCAATTGCACTGGAACACACAACATCACGGCACCATGAGTTCCAATGCGGGCGAGCACACAAGAGTGGGAGGTGCCATTGAAATGAATAGCAATGCAATGCACCTCCTACAGCACAATTTGTCAGGCCGAAAACCAAAAATGACTTCCCACCTTTTATTAAAAACAAATGAAATAATTGTATTGTAAGCAAATGGCACTTGTGTAGCTTCAGCCAGGGGATGACAGCTGCCAGAGGCACAATTCCGCAGACAGCAGCTGAATGTAAATACAGCAGGTAGTGGGCTGGTGCAATAGCCAGCCTGCTATTGGCCATTTCAAATTGCAGGCTGGCTATTGCACCCACTGCTTGCTGTGCCCTCCTCCCAGCATGGAGGAGAGAGCTAGGGGATCCTACAAACTATTCTATAAGAGACCCCCCCCATTTGACAAAAGTCAATAAACAAATCACCTTTGGCGATGGAGCCAGGCAGAAAGTTCTCAGCCCAACGGTGACTCCTCCAGCCAATCAGCTGTAGTCACTGTTCAGGTATTCTGAAAGTGGCACACATGCTGCTGTCAGAATACAATATCCTGGAGACCTAGCTTTTTTTTTTTTCTCTCATTCAGCCCCACAGGAGGGAAAAATGGTCAGTGTATGGCCAACCTTAGAATTAACAACACACAAAGCCACAACTTCTAACTGCAACACCCTCACACAGTCAGAGACCATGCGGGCTCATTCTCTTACAAAGCTCATCAGGAACACTCTTCCAGCTCACCCTATTCTTCCTACGCTGCAGCCTAGACAGCCTGGCCACTTCTACCTGCAGCTAATAGTAGGACACAGTCAGCCACATGACCAGATCAGTCAGTTTTATTTCCATGTCTGACCAGTTTAGTATATAAGGAGACCTGTCATGAGAGAAATACAGGAGCTGCCATTAGTGACCTCCTCCTGAAACGGCCTATTCCCTGAATGGGATACAGATCGTCTAACCTCTGTGCTTTGTGAGTCACTAACCTGGAAAAAGCAGACCGCCAGCAAAGACAGAACCTCCTTTGCTTCAAGGTTGTTCTGGGTCAGTGAGTCAGAGTACTGAAACCTTTAGCATGACATCCAGGCAATTTGCTTTAGCGAGAGAAGTCACCTCCATGTTTCTCTTAGAGCTCTAGCTTACTACATCTTGTTATGTCTGTATGAGGAGGTCCTGAAGCACCTTCAGAGCATTCTGCTGTGTGTGTGGCTGACATAGAGCGGAGCGTCACTATCCTACCACAGGTAACCACTGGCTCTTTAAATGAGAACTATGGAGTGAGCGAATTACACTCATAGTTAGAGCCGATGTGCGAAACAGGTTGGCTCTATTGATCGGAAAATGAGCGAAAACATACCGCCGATCCGCTCACTATCCTGCAGAGAGCAGTGACCGTCAGTTACCGCTCCCCACAGGGATTCCCCCCCTCCCCTCTGCGATCCTCCAGTGCTGACTGGAGGGATGGATGGCCGAGCATGGCTGGTTCTGCCTCTAGAAAGGCGGAGCCTGCTGTCAGCCAGCTGGGTGGATCCAGACAGTATTGTCGGGATCTGCATCAGCTGTGGCGCTCTCATCATATAGAAAAAAAAAAAAAAGGTTACTCTATAGTTTTCTTTTAAAAATGTTTCACCTGTACTGTGTTAAAAAAATTACATTAAAAAAAAATCCCAATTTCTACCTACCATCTGTACGCTCCAGCGCAGTCCCCAACTTCCTCCTGGGTTCAGCATTGGTGGTCCTCTTCAGGCAGAACGACAGTAGTCAATATTTTATTACAGGTATTTATACAGCGCCAACAGTGTACAGAGCGCTTACGTAGTGTAGTGCACATCCACATCAGTCCCTGCCCTCAAGGAGCTTACAATCTAAGGTCCCCAACTCACATGTATACATACATACATACATACAGGGACAATTCAGACCGGAGCCAAATAACTTACCAGCATGTCTTTGGAGTGTGGGAGGAAACCAACACAAGCACAGGGAGAACATGCAAACTGTCCTGACCGGCACTCAAACTGGGACCCCCCAGTGCTGTAAGGTAGAAGTGCTAACCACTATGCCTCTGTGCTGCCCTAAATTCTGTCCCCTTTCTACAAGGCCAGCCTATTGTTTACAGGGGGGGCTGCATGTTATCACACAGGCCTGGCTCACAACACTCAAGGAATGTCCAGGAAGAATGCAGGAGTGAGCTTGGAGCGGTGACTACTTTACAACACACACAGGGACCAAATGTAGCCACCCTCCAGAAGGAAGGACAGTGTCACCATGAATTCAGAGATGATTGGAGGATGTACAGCCGAGTGATACATTTTTGGTAATAGTTGGGGTACAGGAATGTATTTGTAAGGTTTATCTCCTGAGTTTAGTGTCACTTGAAATAAATGTCTAGAGAAATTGCTGATCTTTCTGAAAATGCTAGTCGCCTGCCCATCATGCTGATCCTCTGAATTCAGCACCTTGTGATCCACTGACAACTTACAAGCATGCTTGTTCTAGGTTAGCGATGGATTGAAAGTGACAGCCAGGCAGCTAGCATTTTCACACCGACAAGTCAGGTATAAGAGGAAAACCTGGGGGGGGTTTATCAAACTGGAGCAGTTGCCCATGGCAACCAATCAGCTTCTCGCTTCAATTTGTTCAGTTAAAATGAAAGAGAGAGAAGCTGATTGGTTGCCATTTACAGTCAGCTGCTCCAGTTTGGATACATCCCCCTCCTTGTCTCATAGAGTGCTCCTCTATATGGCTGCCATAGAGCAGAGCGTCGTTCTGCCATCATGTCCATAGCCACCCAATTTACTTTTTCGGCAGGAAGCTCCACAACACCCCAGAAATCCATGTTCTCCCTTTTGACCTCCAATAATGAAAGACATCCGCATGGAGTGTGTAGGAGAAATGTTAATAATAAATTCAGACGACACCCTGCAGTCCAACTCGCCCCCTCATTCTGAAACAGGAACCACCCTGCAAGTCTTCCCATGCTGGTACTTTTAGTTCCACCACCAGGATTCGCACATGTACTCATGCCCATGCTACAGACACGTAAGGAAACCGTGCTCACCTCCTCTATCTTGGAGTCCTGGATGCTCTCCACCTCGAACACGTCCTCCTCATCCTCGCTCTCTGCAGCCTCCATCCGGGTTCCGGGCTCCTTTCTCTCTTCGACCGCCACTGTCGTAGACTCGCCAGCAGCCGCTGCGGCACCGTTCCCATCCAGTCCCGCAAACTCCGCCATGATGGCTCGAGTTGGATAGACGACAACGGGAAAATCCTCCTGCGCCACACACCTCCCCGATACGTCCCGGAGGGACAGAGCGCCCAGCCAATCACAGCTCGTGGCGGCGAACAGGGGTCCCCCGACTCTGCCCAATTGCATCGAAGAAGTGAAATTGCGGCCGTGGGAGATCACGTTGGCCACACGGCGATTGGCTCCTGAGCACCCATGACGAAAGTGAATTAACCAATGAGAAAGGAGCAGGGCGGAACGAATTGTAAGGTAACTTCAGGCAATGCCAGATAGTCCTAGACCACGCATGACCGTCTGGCAGCATCTGCGCATGCGCCAGCTGCCTGCTAGTTGTATGGGGCAGCTCATTGGCCACTGTCCCTGAATGTCGATGTTAGTGTTTGTAGTGGAGCTTCGTGTTCTCAGTCAGAGTCAGTTGCAGCTGCAGCTGGTTTAGGACGGAGCTAGTCTGGAAAAAACAGTGTGAGGGCCGGTGCACACCTAGACGACGCCTCACCGCGTAGCAATTGTGCACGATTCTGTGCGGATTGCCACGTGGTCAGGAGTCCCCAAGGTGTGAACCGATCTTTTATTATCGATCGATTATTTTCTAATGGCAGCCATGATTCCGCCCATACTAAAACAGCCACGTGGATTTCACCCCATTGAAATCAATGGGGCCGCGCGGCAATCGCCTGCATTGTGCGGGGCCGCACGATCCCGGAGGTCTGCACCGCGACTAGAGCTGGCCATACACCTATAGATTTTCTATGGTCAGATGGAAAAAGTGCAACAGATTCCCCCATCTACGCTAAACTGTGTGGATGGAGGAATCTCCCACTGGGCCAAGTTTCAGTATCTTGCTAGTCGGCCCCGCTGGCTCTCAAAATACCTGAACAGTGCCTGCATTCAAACAGGTTGTTTAGGTATTTTAAGAGCCAGCGAGGCCGACTAGCAAGATACTGAAGCTTGGCCCAGTGGGAGATTCCTTCCTCCACACAGCTCAGCATAGATGGAGGAATCTGTTGCACTTTTTCCATCTGACCATAGAAAATCTATAGGTGTATGGCCAGGTTTACGGGGAGTCTGTGTTAGCACTTCTGCCTTGCAGCACGGGGGGTCCTAGTTCGAATCCTGGCCAGGTCACCATCTGCATGTTCTCCCTGTGCTTGTGTGGGTTTCCTCCGGGTATGCCGATTTCCTCCCACACTCCAAAGACATGCTGATAAGTTAATTAACTCCTGTCTAAATTGGCCTTCGTATGTGTGTATGTGAGATAGGGACACTTAGATTGTAAGCTCCTTGAGGGCAGGGAGTGATATCATATAACAGAGAGGCTGTCAATAGATGGGAGTTTTTGGTAACTTCCAGGCACCAATTTGTGCGCAGCAAAGCTCACTGTTTTACCCACTTCAATACCAGCATATTTTTTAATTTCCCCAAAAATTGTGGCAAAAAATGACATCACCATGGGGTGGATACCATCCAAAAAGGAGTCATTTTGTGGACATTTGTACTCTCCTGGCATTTTTACTGGATATGTTTTATAACCGAAGGTAAGGGAAACAGTTTTTTTGATTTTTGCTCTTTTTTCATTTATGTAGTAAAAAATAAAATAAACCTAGTGGTTATTAGACATGTGCACCGGCAAAACATTTGTTTCCATTCAGATTTAGCGTTTTTTTCCAGGACTCGGATTTGGACGAAATTCGTTAGCGGTAGTCTGTACGAATCTCCGAATAACGAAACTTCATCCGAAAAAACTATTTTACTGAAACAAAATCGCACATGTCTAGTGGCTGAGGTGGTTAGGTACTCAGCTCGCACTACAGCATTGATCAACTCCTCCAGGAGGGCTCTGTGGCTCAAAACTTGGTCAGGGGATTTAGCCTCCAAAGCAAAGTTATGCAAGCTACATTTCGAAGGTGACTTACTTTTTGGCCAGGAATTAGAAGCAGTGTTAGATAGATCCGCGGACAAGTAGAAAGGTTTTCCACTGCCACCCAAGCAGCAGGGGAAAAAGTTTTTTCGTCAAAAATTTCCGCAAAGAGAAGAGGGGATTTTTTGGGAAAAAACAAGACCAATCCAAAGGGTGGGCGTTTAAAAAAGGAAAGTCTAAGAGCAATATCCTCTTTAAACCCCCTCAGCAGCCCAATAAATCCCAATGACCGATTGCGCTCAGGGTGGGAGGAAGACTGGGAGAATTCTTCCCGCTCTGGAGGGAGCTGACCAGCAACAAATTCATTTTGGAGCTGGTTCAGATCGGTTACAAAATAGAACTGATGGAACGGCCCCCGTCCAGGCTTCCAATTACTTTCCTGTCCAAGGACCGGAAGAAAGCAGAGGCAATGACAGCGGCTCTGCAAGATCTGTTGGACCAGGGGGTCATTGTGCGAGTATCGGTTTTAGAGGAGAAGAGGGGATTTTACTCCCACATCTTTTCCAGGATAAAGCCCTAGGGAAAATGCAGACTGATACTAAATCTGCAGCCTCTGAACAGGGTGGTACTGTACAGGATCCTTTTTAGCGACTATAGATCTGAGAGACGCTTATTTTCACATTTCAGTAAGACAGTCGTCACAATACCTATTGAGATTTGCTGTGCGGGGGTCCTGCATTTTCAATACAGGGCCTTGCCGTTCGGCCTTTCCTCTTCGCCTCGAATCTGTACCAAAGTACTGGCAGAGACTCTGGCCCCCCTAAGATCACGGGGGGTAGAGGTCATTCCCTACTTGGACGACCTGTTGTTTTTTGCCCCATCAAAGATTGTGCTCCAACAAAAGCTGGAGCTAGCGATCCAACACTTGGAGAGTCTGGGTTGGTTGGTGAACAGGGAAAAGTCACAACTGGTCCCCGCACAGACGGTAAGGTTTTTAGGTTATTGGATCAATATCCAGGACATGACCATTGCATTACCAGTGGAAAAAGTGTCTTTGCTGGTAGAGGAGACACTAAAACTGAAGTTGCGGTGCAAAGTATCAGTCAGATCAGTAATGAGAGTGGTGGGACTTATGACGTCGGCCATCCCAGCAGTTACCTGGGCGCAATTCCATTCAAGGTTGCTACAGAATTGGCTATTGACGATCTGGGGAAGTCGGCAAGAAGACCTAGACAACGTAGTCCACATCACGGAGGAGATCAAGCAATCCCTGCTCTTGTGGATGGACTGTCGGAACCTCTCAGTAGGCAGGCTATGGTGCCAGCCAGCACCGTTAATAGTCACGACAGATGCCAGTGCCTGGGGATGGGGAGCCCCCTGCCTGGAGCACATTTGGCAGGATACCTGGGAGCACACGGGCAGAATCAAGTCGTCAAACTGGAGAGAGCTAAAGGCGATAGGGCTGGCTCTCTGCCAGTTTCGAGATATTTTAGCAGGCCACCATGTAGCGGTGGCCTCGGACAATGCCGCAGCGGTAGCTTATATAAACAAGCAGGGGGGCACGGGTTTGCATGGCCTAATGGCATTGGCGACGGAAATTCTGTCATGGGCAGAACGCAACCTAAAGACACCCGCAAGTACAGGCTTTAAATTTAGCTGCATGGCTTCTGAGAGGGAGGTGCTGATGAACAAGGGGTTATCCGCAAAGGTGGTTTCCACGTTGTTGCACAGTAGGAAACCGGTAACGTCAGCGATTTACCTGAAAGTATGGAAAGTCTTTTCAAGCTGGTACAACAGCCAAGGTAGACCAACAGCCGACACAGTGCCGTTGGTGTTAGATTTTCTACAGGGGGCCTGGAGAAAGGGCTTTCCTGTAGTACTCTAAAAGTGCAGGTTACGGCTCTGTCTAATTTTGTGGACATTAGACTGGCGGAAGAACCTCTCATAAAGAGATTTATGCGAGCTGTAGTCAGAATGAAACCCCCAAAGGGTAAGGTCGTGCCAAATTGGGATCTCTCGGTGGTATTACAAGGGTTTCTCAAGCAGCCTTTCGAGCCCCTGGGGGATTGTTCGATACAGAATCTGACGATGAAGACAGCCCTCTTGGTAGCATTAGTTTCTGCTCGGAGAGTGAGCGAGATTCATGTCTTTGGAGTGTGGGAGGAGACCGGCGTACCCGGAGGAAACCCACACAAGCACAGGGAGAACATGCAGATGGTGACCTGGCCAGGATTCGAACCAGGACCCCCCCGTGCTGCAAGGCAGAAGTGCTAACACAGACTCCCCGTAAACCTGGCCATACACCTATAGATTTTCTATGATCAGATGGAAAAAGTGCAACAGATTCCTCCATCTACGCTAAACTGTGTGGAGGAAGGAATCTCATGCAGCTGGGCAGATCCAGACATAATTGTCGGGATCCGCGTCAGCTGCGACGTCTCAGTATACCACGAGCAGTAGCTGCAATTAATTAAACAGGACCTTCATGCTCTTCACACTCAGGTAATCTCGCACAGCTCCACTATTTGGAATCTGCAATGCCATATTGAAGACCTGGATAATAGAGGCTGCAGGAACAACATCATAATCAAAGGATTGCCAGGGGCAAGGGTCTCTGGGAACTTAAAAGAGATTTTACAAGCCATATTCAACAACATCCTTGGTGAACCTTCTACCCATTTCATTGAGATTGACCATGCCTCACAGGGCTCTCCATCCGCATGGCACTTCTTCCCAACCTAAAGACATCATCTGTAGGGTTCACTCCTATGCCCTGAAGGAGGAAATTATGCAGAAGGAACATAATCTATGAAATCTGGAATTTGATGGAGCGCAGATCCAACTGTTTCTGTTTTTCTCCTGGCTCGCTTTGCAACAACGCAGACTTTTACTCCTTTTGCTTACCCTTCTTCATGATGCCTATATTCCTTATAGATGGGGCTTTCCTTTTAGCCTCATGGCTCCAAGAGATGGAAATTTGGCAACTTTGAGAGTCCCTAAAGAACTTCCTGCCTTCTGGAGAGGCGTATCCATCCCTTGTCCTAAGCTTCCCGGCTGAG